GCAAAAAAAAATCAAAATACTGAGAAAATCGCCTTTAAAGTTGTCTAAATGAAGTTCTTAGCAATGCATATTACTAATCAAAAATTAAGTTTTGATATATTTACGGTAGGAAATTTACAAAATATCTTCATGGAACATGATCTATACTTTATCCTAATGATTTTTGGCATAAAAGAAAAATCAATCATTTTGACCCATACATTGTATTGTTGGCTATTGCTACAAATATACCCCAGCGACTTAACACTGCTTTTGTGTTCCAGAGTCACATATTATATTATAGTATAGTACATTATATTTTTAATGAAGTGAGGCCAAATTTAGTTTTGGAATGTTTTATTCAAAGAGAAATTTTGAAAACCTTTTAGAAAATTTTGTTTTTATTTGCTGTTTATATTTAGTTTGTTTATTTAATTACTTATTATATCTTATATCAGATGTTTCTTTTTTTGTGTCTTCTCCATTATCAGCATGCAACCCCTGGTAGATGGCCAGTAAATGAAGTGATTTGATTGGCTGATTGGATAAACAGGTCAGTATTGATGACCTCAGGTCTGCTGTGCTGTGTGCCGCTCCATTAGTGTCCGTTCACTTCATCTGTGTGTTTTGTCTATAATCATGTGAATCCGTTTATCTACACAATTCCAAATGCCATCTGTGAAGTGAGTTCGTCTGATGGAGATTATGTGAATCTGTAATCTGATCATCAGAGCTTCACATTCAAACATTCAATGCACATGCAGCTTTAGCATATACTGTACACTACAAGAATAATGCATGAACATCCGTCAACAATTCCTCTCAAATCAGTCTTAACGCTGCAGATTCTGCCTCCATTTACAGCGATTTAAATAAATTCACAGTGAGCAGCACAAAAGCAAAGACAATACTGCACAAAATACAGTTTTAAAAGAGGAAAGAAACGTTGACTGAGCTCTCAGAACGAGAGTACTTTTCATAAATGTAATGTTGGGGCAAGTTGTCACATCTTTTAAATGTTGGTCAATTGATTAAATACATTTTCCTTTGGCCAAAACAGTTTGGATGTATGAGGGTTATTATAGTTAACTAAAACTAAAACTAAAAAAAAATAAAAAATCTACTACTTCAAAGAAAATAAATGAATACTTTAACTGAGTTTTTTAGATAAATTTGTACTAAAATACTAAATCTAAAATAAAAATTAAAAAAATATAGACAGGAAAAACTTTAAACTAATAAAAATGACAAAATTAGCCTACTAAAAGTTTAGATAAAATTTAAATTAAAACAAAATCTAAACCTAAAAACTAATTTAAAATATTTATAAAAACTTATACGTAACTTATTAACTATAATAATATCTCAATTATACTAAAATATCTCTGATATGTATCAGTATATGTTTTTGTGCAATATTTTGTGCTGTTTTACAATTGTTTTGCTTTTTAAGATTTTGCTATAAAAAATTTTTTAAAAAGCATATATAAATAGCCTATAATACTTTTAGAAATCTAGGTGTTTTGTTATACTTTAGGTGTATTTATTGCAGCTTCCCAGTGTCTAAAATAACATATTTTGGGAAATGTTTTTTCATTTGTTGATCAGTTTCCTGTTTCCTCAACAGCACTTTCCTTCCTGTTTGTCTTTTCATTTGTAAAATCCTTTTACAGTTCCTCAATGATGTCACCCTATAGGAAGTGACATCATTTTGGAGGGAAATCAGCAGTGAGGATTTGATGGATTCTGTGAGGTTAGTTAGTTAGTTGGTTCGTGTCTCTCCCTGTTTGATCAAATTACATAAATTAGTGATAATAGAAAAATACCAAATATATTATTTTAATAAATAAAAAAAAAAAAAAAAAAAACATTATTTTACACACACACACACACACACATTAATGTAAAGTTATTTTAAAAGATATAAAAAATTTAAAAAGTTACAAATATAAAAATTAACTGACATCCTTATCCATCCCTCAACTTTACCTCATTAGTTAAAGTTATGTGAGGCGAGTGTATTTCTGATAAGTTTAAATACTTCCTCATGTTTTAACAGCAGCACCGTTGAATATGAGCCGACTGCATGTGTTTTATTGTCTGTGTTTGTGATGAGGATACAGGAGGCCTTCATGTTACACATTACACAGAGTTAACAACACAAAATCAAACATTATCAAAGTCAGATGTTACATATTCTGTGCTTTATGGACTTCACTGTTTAAACTACAACCAAATTAAATTCCAAATAACCTGAGCAACAGCAACCTAAATCTGTTTTTGAGCATTAAAAATGAGCAGTGGTGGCGTTATTTTCTCATTTCAAACTTGAGTTATATTTAGGAATATAGGTTCAATTTACATATACACCTTATACATATTTTATGTGATGGTGATTTTTTTCACCATTTTATATATATTTTTTGCCTTCATTAGTTACATCAGTGATCATACAATGATTTTTTTTTTGAAGTACAAACATAAAAAGGTTATTTAAAATAGTTTTAGATGAATTAGATTTATATGTTTAGTGTGTAATTTATTTGTTTTTCATATTAGAAATCTGAACTACTTTCCATTGTATTGTCTTTTATTTGTTTTTTTTTATAAATATTAATTAATTTAATATAAACCCCAACTAAAATAACACATTCGGACAGCATCACATTTTTTTAAGTCCTTTTTTTGTTATTGAGATGACATCATCACCCAAAACTAGACAATTACCGGAAACAGAACAAAACAGAAAAAATGAAACAGTTTTGCGACTTTGTACTCATCTAATCTCGCCAGTGAACGCCTAGGTGTGTTTGATCAGAAGTCCCGCCCCTCTCGGGTTCACCTCCCATTTAACTGGTTTGAGTGGCACGTAAGAGCCCCGCCCCTATTTCGTTCCCCTCTCGTTAAACCTGTTTGATTGGCAGGCGGAAGCCCCGCCCCGTCCTCCGTTCCCCTCCCGCCGCTGGGCTTTGATTGGCAGATGATAGCAGCTGCGGAGTTGTGAAGTCATGGCGGAGCTCCGCCGCGCCTCTGATCGCTGGAGTTACGGCGATCATTTGTGATAAACTGTCAAACTTTATAACAAATCTAAAATGACCGAAAGCGAGGCAAAGTTGCGAGCGGCGACGGACCAGCGTCAAACGATCTGAAACCGAGAGCTGGCAAAGATGTGAGACTCTCCGGAGCCGAAGAAGAAGAAGAAGAAGAAAAAAACCGTTGGAGTCTCCCAAAGTCGCAAACATGGCTTCTTGTTTCTTTCAATTTCACACAGAAAACTCTTTAACCGGAGCTTCGTTGTTTTCAGCGCTTTGTGTCGCTCTGTGATGGATCCCAAGCACAAAGAGTTGTTAGAGCAGTGCCAGCAAAAGTTGTCGGAGTCCGTCACAGATGTGGATGTGGTTGTGGAGCTGCTGGCCCAGTCAGGCTGCTTGAGTCCGGCTGAGAGAGCAGAGCTGGACGCGGACTGCTCCAGCAGCGCCGAGAAGCTCCGTCTGCTCCTCAGGACGCTGCTGGAGAAGAAGGACAGGGACCATTTCCAGGAGTTCTGCTGGGCTCTGGAGAAAACCCAGCCGGTGCTGCTCGGCGCTCTGCTGCCTGTGGAGAACCACCACAACACGGGTAAAACCTCCACCGAGCCTCGGCTGATCGTGAGGGAAAACCTTCAGAACGTTAGCAAAGTTTTCTAGTCAAACCTTGTTAGCTTAGCTTAGTTGTTTGTCGGTCCAGCAGTAGAGAGAAGTGTCCTTTAAGCTGGTTTCTGACAGGACCAACGATACACTGTAAACAATAGGCTAAATGAATCCATAATATTCATACGAGCTATTTTCAACATATGTAGAAGCAGTATAAGGGATATCAACGCATTATGCATAAAATAATATATGCCACACATGTATATTGAATAGTTGATAAATTTTCATCTATCTATCTATCTATCTATCTATCGATATATCGTTCTATCTGAATGAATATATTCCACACATGTATTTTGAATATTATTAACTTTTGAATATTAATAGCTTTTATTTGAATCTGTCTTTCTGTCTGCTTATCCATCCATCTATCTGACGCTCATATATGAATGTAATAATATGTCTCACATGTAATATGAATTTTTACATGTTAATAATTATTATATCTATATTTCTGTCTGTCTATCGTTCTATCTATATGAATCTGTACATTTAAAAAAAAAATTTTTTAGGTGCTTTAATTTTTTGCAGTACTCTTCAATTTTTAAGTGCAAACAAATGTTTTTAGCAAAAATGTTTCTAGATATATAAGTCATAAAAACTGCATGCATAATAAACAACTATGCATGCATTTTGTTAATAATATTGTTTAAAACAGTTCAACATGTCAAATAGGGTTGTAGCCACATGTAATGTTTGGGATTATGGGTTGTATATAATATTTAGTTGACTATGACAGAAGCATTCATTCTTTGAATAGAGCGGTTTGGCATGTGTTTTGTGGTCTGTGATGCGCTGGATGTGGTCAGACAGATGCTGAGATGTTCAGCTCATGTGTTTCCTTCTAGAAAACACAGACCCGCCGGTGCGTAAAGCTTTATAAAGCTGCGACTGACCTGTTGTGTAAATCTGCCGCGTGAAACATCGTACAGTAAATGTGTTACAGATGTTTCAAAGATTCCTGCGGCCAGAAAAACTCATCAGACGTGCAGGGATTTAGCCGTAAGCCAGAAATAGCTGCCGACTATAAAATTATGCAGCTTAAAGCTGGATCAAATTACATTACCTAGAAAGCCATTAAACCCATGTTACAGGAATCTGATTGGACGACATAGAAACACATGTGAGTAATATTGCACCAGTGCGGACAGACTGAAAGAAAGTCATTTAGAGTCTGTTAAATGGAGCGTCGCCGATCAATTGGACAACTTAGAGATCTATGATGGTTGTCAGTATAAACCTCAGTGGGGGTCTGTTTAGCTTAATTTATCAGTCTCTGATCATTTCCACTCTCACTGATGTGTCCCGTCGCTCTGGGCTGTATCAACTGTGCTTCAATCAATTAAAAAAAATTGGGTCCTGAGTGATTGTGTCCATACTAGGCCAGCTGACTGCCTCAATTATATAAAAGCGCTATAAAGTGCAACTGCCATACTCCAGAAGGAAAATCCCATTGATTTTTAGCAGTAAAGACCTTTCAAAACAGAACCTGACAAGAGATCTGAGTCAGGTTTTTAAAAAACATGTTTAGTAGAATAGAACACACAAAAATGAAAATGTGTAGAAAATGTGCTCACCCTCAGGCCATCCAAGATGAGTTTGTTTCTTCATCAGATTTGTAGAAATGTAGCATTGCATCAGTGTCTCAGCAATGGATGCTCTGCAGTGAATGGGTGCCGTCAGATTGAGAGTCCAAACAGCTGATAAAAACATCACAATAATCCACAAGTAATCCACACCACTCCAGTCCATCAATTTTTTTTTTTTTTTAATTAAATTAAAATGTTTTAACTCATATTTGTTTAGAGCTGTTTTGGCTTGTAAACTGTGCTTGATCTGTGCAGATTTCTCTCCTGATTCAAACCAGACCACTTTTTCACTGGAAAAAGCAATATTATGGATAGAGGACTTAACTTTAACTTAAAGTTAAAATGCATGTATCATTTTCACAAGATGTGAACTGATGGACTGGAGTGCTGTGGATTACTTGTGGATTATTGTGATGTTTTTATCAGCTGTTTGGACTCTCATTCTGACGGCATCCATTCACTGCAGAGCATCCATTGGTGAGACACTGATGCAATGCTACATTTCTCCAAATATTTTTTTCCTGAAGAAACAAACTCGTTTCCTTGTTCTTCAGCATTGGTAATGCTGTGGTACTTCTAAAAACTCTAGTCATATCAGTGAATTAGTCTCGGGCTGATGAAGATGACCTGTAATGAAGCCCCATGTGGAAGCTGAGTTTAGAGTTGGTCTGGACAGATGAGCCGTCATGACTCTGTCCAGTCACTGATATAGAGGGGTCAGTTTCTCAGGGCTGTGTGTAATGAAGGACACAGAATTTCTACCCAGCATGCCGTCTGGCACACACAGAGAGGGCTCAACAGATCGAGCGCCTTTCTCTGTCAGGTCCAAGTTTCCGTTGTCCAGCTCACAGCTGTGTGAGTGGGAGAGAATTAAATAGAAGTCCAGTTTATGGTCCGTAGTACTTTGCCAAGCTTCATGCACTCGTTTAAATGTCAGACAGGACACACACACACACACACACACACAC